ACACTAGAGCAATTCGATTGTGTCGTTGCCGTGGGCGGCCTTGAGGCGGAGGAAGTGGAGGTGGAGGTGGAGGTGGAGGTGAGGGTGGAGGTGGAGGGTGAGGAGGAGGAGGAGGAGGAGGTGGAGGAGGAGGAGGAGGAGGAGAGGAGGAGGAGAGGAGGAGGAGGAGGTGGAGGTGGAGGAGAAGGAGGAGGAGGAGGAGGAGGGGAGGAGGAGGAGGACGGCCTTGAGGCGGAGGAGGTGGAGGTGGAGGTGGAGGTGAGGGTGGAGGTGGAGGGTAAGGAAGAGGAGGCGGAGGAGGAGGATAAGGAGGAGGGGGAGGAGGAGGAGGGGGAGGATGAGGAGGAGGAGGAGGAGGCGGAGGAGGAGGAGGAGGGGGAGGAGGAGGAATAGGAGGCGGCGGAGGAGGAGGCGGAGGAGGAGGAGGCGGAGGAGGAGGAGGCGGCGGAGGAGGAGGAGGAGACGGGATGATGATGATGATGATGATGATGATGATGATGATGATGATGATGATGATGATGATGATGATGATGATGATGATGCTGATGATGATGATGATGATGGTGATGGTGATGGTGATGTGATGATGATGATGATGATGATGCTGATGATGATGCTGATGCTGATGATGGTGTTGATGATGCTGATGATGATGGGTGCTGATACTGATGCTTATGATGATGATGATGATGCTGATGGATGATGCTGATGGTGGTGGTGATGATGCTGATGATGATGCGGATGAGGGATGATGAGGATGAGGATGAGGATGAGGATGATGATGATGACGATGATGATGATGCTGCTTGATGCTGATGATGATGATGATGATGATGATGATGATGATGATGATGATGATGATGATGATGATGATGATGATGATGATGATGATGATGATGATGATGATGATGATGATGATGATGATGATGATGCTGATGCTGATGATGGATGAGTGAGGATGAGGATGGAGGAGGAGGCGGAGGAGGAGGAGGAGGAGAGGAGGAGGGGGAGGAGGTAGGAGAAGGATGAGGAGGAGGAGGCGGAGGAGGAGGAGGAGGAGGAGGAGGAAGAGGAGGAGAGGAGAAGAGGAGAGGAGGAGGAGGAGGGAGGAGGAGGAGGGGGAGGAGGAGGAAGAGGAGGCGGAGGAGGAGGAGGAGGAGGAAGAGGAGGCGGAGGAGGAGGAGGAGGAGGAGGAGGAGGAGGAGGAGGAGGAGGACTGTGCCCACGTGGGCTTCGATGCAACCCTGAACCCTCTCCAGGAGCGGTGGGCACGGGGAGCCCTTGGCGTGCGTGGCCCCGCCCCGTGGGCCCTCCTCCTGCACCGCAGGGGGGGCGGACCGTCCCGGTGGGCCACAGCACGATGGAGGAGCGCGCCATACGGACGTTTTGCACACAGCACGCGTTGCGCTTCAAAACGGGCGCATCAGGGCAGCTACGCCCCCAAAACGTGGGACGTCCGGATTCTTGCTCCACACGGGGCCCGTGGACGTCCCGACCCCTTTCCCAGGACCGACCTTCCATCCCGACTCGTCTCTTGACGCTCCCGAGGCCCGGCGAGGGCCCCCCGAAGCCGAGGTTGGCCTTAAGTCGGGCCTGTCCCTCTACAGGGGGAATATCAAAAAATATGTAAAAAATAGTTTTGGGGACGATCTTCAGAGTATTTCTGACCATTTGGGGGTATTTGTTCGTGTTCTTCAGTTTTCGCCCAAAAGCCCTCTGTAGGGGGACATGCCCGACCTAACCCTGACAGCCGCATCCAGGCTGACCCCCGGTGCGCTGAAGCAGAGCGCGCCCTCGCATTGGCGGAGCAGGCAGAGGGATCCTGGACGCAGCAGGTCCGCCCGTTGGGCCAGCCTGGCCCGCCGGAGCTGCTGGCGGGAGCCAGCGCTCGCGCCCGGTGTCGCGACCACGTGAGGGCGGCGGCGCAACGCCAGGCGCAGGCCTGGCTGGCGAGCCCGGCGCAGCAGCGGGCCCCGCCACAAGAAGGATACACAGACACCCTCCACTGCATTGTTCGTGGGCCTCAGGGGACGGTGGCGGTGTAAAAATCACCACCGAGAGTCAGCGGCTTTGGACACCGTCCCCTCCCTGAAGGCACATGCAAAGTTCGTCGGAGGGTGTCGTGCGTAGATCTGTTTTCGTGGCGTAGAGGTGTTCGCGCGCGGGGGCGTGCGCGGGCCACGCGGCGCTCGAGCACAGCGCCTCCTCCTCCTCCTCCTCTTCCTGCTCCTCCTCCTCCTCTTCCTGCTCCTCCTCCTTCTTTTCCTCCTCCTCCTTTTCCTCCTCCTCCTCCTCCTCCTCCTCCTCCTCCAATGCGCTCCCTGGAGAACTCCTTATCTGATCAGGGCGGCGGTGATACCTTTGGCCAAACCTCAATTCGAGTTCCACTGGCTTCAGACCCTGGGCCCCGCAGCCAACTGTTCATCATCCAATGCCCTCACCGTATTTGGCCCGTCGGGTGTCCCAGTAAGTCGGGGAGCGGGTCTGCGAGCTGGGCGGGGCTGGGGCCCGGATAAATCGTTCCAAAGCGTTCCCGACCGCCCTCGGAGCGTTCTGGAGCCCTTCGGAACGGCCGCGGCGCGCGATACACTTCCAGAGCCTCCGGATTTCAGAGATCCCTAGTTTTTGTTCTGGTCCGATTTGTTGTCCTGGTCCTGGCTGCGTCTTATCCGGGCGCACCTTCTGTCGAGGGTGGACCGACCCCCCCTGTCGTGTGCATCGATCCCCAAGCTGGGGCCCCAGCCATCTGGCGCATGTGGGGTGTCCCAGGAGGTCGGGGAGCGGCGAAGCCGAGCCTCCTGTCAGGTCGCGGCGCCCCCCCAAGACACGAGGCGTCCTGATGTTAGTCCATGCGGCGTGTCTCCAGATGTCCCCGCCCGTTCCCCCCCGGGGCTGGCCTTTCGTCCCGAGCCGCTTCTTCGAGGGCGCGCCCCGGCGAGGGGCCCCCAGAGGCCAGATGCGGCCAACGCCTCGGAGGGCGCGTCATGGGGCGGGGGGCGGTACGTGGTGGGGGCTGCGAGGGCTGTCGAAAAGGGGCCTTCTGGGGCCCCTGAAGGGGCCTTGCGGGCCCCACATGGGGGCTTTTAGGGCCCGAAAAGCCCCCCCCCCCCCCCCTCCACCATGTGTCCCCCCCCCCCCCTCTCCCCCCCCCTCCTCTCTTCCGACTCGTGCTCCCGCTGCAGCGCTGGCGTCATTTCCCGAGCCATGCCACGGCATGCAATGCAATGCTAGGTTGATGCTACGCTTTGCGGTGCTCTTCTACGCCATGCCATGCCGTGCTCTACAATGCATCGCGGATCTTTCGGGATCATTGCCTTGCTCGACATCCGACTGTGCGAGTAGAGAGGGGATCTGCGCCATGGTAACGGATGGGAGGGAGGGGTAGGATGTCAGATATGACGCGAGCGCGCCTAGCTTGCCCCCCCCCCTCCCCCCCCCCCTGGGTTGCCCGAAGAGCCTCACGCCGGTGCGCACTGCCTCTGCCCCGCCGCCGGCGAACACAAGTTTCGCCCCCCCCCCCCCCTCCCCCCCCCGCAGGTCGCGGCCAAGAGGCCTCCGTCTCGAGGCCTTCCGCCGTGGAGAGCTCTGTGCCGCAGGGGGGGCACCCGGCGGGCCTCCGCGCCGCGCCCTCCACAGAGTGCCTCAAGGGTGCGAGCCGCGGGCGCGGCGCCGCGCTGCGCGGCCGCGCGCGCGCGGGGCCTGGCCCTCTCTCCGCGGCCAACAGTCAGGAGGGGAAAAGAAAGACACAGACACAATGAATCCTCGACTCCCCAGAACATATGGGAAACTATGGGAAGGGGGGGGGGAAGACAGACGCCCAGAAAAATATGGGAAATCATGGGAATCTTCTCATTTGTGTGTGTGTATATATATATATATATATATATATGTGTGTGTGTGTGTGTGTGTGTGTGTGTGTGTGTGTGCGTGTCCTGGGGCCCCTTCCAACAAGGAGTTCTGCCGTCGTGATCCTTCCTCGGGAGCTGGGACATATACATGGCCAGTGGCGGGCTGCTTCTCGCTCCCAGGACTCCTTGAGTGTTGGGGGCGACGTCGGGGCGGTGTGGTGTGTACTCGTTGTTCCGTTTCCCAGGAGCCAGCGGAACACGTATACACTAGGGCCCCGTATACACCAGGATCCGCTTTGCTGTGCGAATTCCGGTGCAGGGCTGGAACAGGCGTCGGTGCATAGAGTTCGGCTCCCTACTTCCACTGCGCGGGCACTCGACTACAGTCAACCCGCATAGTAGGCAACCTTCCCAAGGGTACGGTACCATTTGCATCCTTGCCTCCTCGGTCCATCCTTGGCCACCTTCGCTGGCCGCGCCCCGCTCGAGGAGTTCCGAAGTGGGCTTGAAAGGCTTTTGCATCCTTCTCGCGCATCCTTATGACACGGGTTGGCTCTACACGTAAGAGTGACCTTTCGCCAGAATGACCTCAGGTGCGGGCCCACGCGGGTCCCCCGATCGCCGAGCGCGATTCGGTGGCAGCGCCTTGCACGCTTGTGTGTTCGGTCCCCGCGCGGCACCCCAAACACCGCGCACCCAAGGTCCCTCTTACACGACGGTCACTCTCTTGTTAGACGGGAGATGCCGGAAGCTTTTTGTACATCCAGCTCGTATCTCATATCAGGTTTTGTCGAGATTTCCGCCCCCCCTTTCGGGACTCCCGCTCGCAGTCTCGGGGGCGGAAAAGAGGGGGGTGATGACTAGGGGGGGGGAGATCTCATGGCGTGGGCCATGATATTTCCCCAGATTTCATGGCGCCTCTTCTGATTTCATCTCGTCCCTGGCCCCCCCGCTGGGCCGCGCACATGCCGCCCGTCATGATTTGCACCCCCCCCTCTTGGACACCCCCCTCTTGGCCGCTCCAGACAGTCGGGGCGGCAATTCGCCTCGGGGGCACCTTCGAGCGAGAGCGAGCGTGGCGCGGCGTGCAGCCGAGAGTCGCGCCCGGCTCTCCCGGGGCCCGCGCAAGCGCGCGGCGCGGGGCGCCGCGAGGACCAGACGAAGTCCGAGCTCGGCTACCTCTCGCAGCTCTACGACTGCTACGTCGCGGTCCTCGAGACCATCAAGGCCGCGCCGGCCGCGCGACCCTGCGCCGTGTCAGGAGGGAAAAAAACACACAGACACAATTAATCGTCGATGTCCCAGAAAACATGGGAAAATATGGGAAGTGGGGGGGGGAGACAAACACCCAGAAAATATGCGAAAATATTGGGAATCTTGTTATTTGTGTGTATTTATTTGTGTGTCCTGGGGCCCCTTTACCGTGGGCCGTCGCCGCAGCGGCGCGCCAGTTCAGCAGATCACGGGAGCTCCCGCGTGTTGGATTGGGGGCAGGTCGGCGAGTATAGTGTCCAGTCCCAGGCCCCCCAGATGGGGCCGGAGTGGACGAGGTCGGAGGTCTGCGCCGCATCGCCGATGCATCGGCGATGCGGCTCGATGTGGGGCCCACTTTCCTCCTCGCCGACGTCGCGGATGCATCGCCGATGCAGCGTGATCCTCCGACCCCATTTGCTCGGACCCTATCAAAGAGGCCTCTTACCCATAGCGCTCAATTGCGCCAAACGGGCGACGAAGCAAATCGGGATCGCCTTCGCCGACATTGGTTCATAAGATGCCCGCGTAAGCTCGCGCGTCAGCGCCCTCGCTTCAAGCGTAGCGTGCCTCGCTGGCGGTCTGCGTCAGCCACCGCGTAAAGTCACTGTGCCATCTCGCGTAAGACCTTTGATTTGTCGTCACTCAAATAGCGCTCAATGCCTTCCGTGGGTTGCATTCTAGCAATGGTCTCAGCCGTTGGGCGGGGGGTGACTCAGCCATCGGAGACGCAGAAAAGGCCCCAGAAAAGGGTAACCACTCCAGACTGTCCAAGAAGCACCCTCCCCATAGGTTTGATGGGCAGCATCCTGCACCCGTTATGCTGTTTTTTGTGCCCCCTCCCCCACGCCGCCATTTTCATATTGGCGGTCTGTGTGCGATGTTCGATCTGCCGACTGGCCAAACTCCTGCACCCCACCGACGACGCCAAGCATCCTGGAATCGGGAGCAGGAGGGGCGCTTTGAAATTCTTGACGCTTCGCGCATCTTTTTACTAACTCCCGTCTGCAGCTTTCCCTGGTTGCCGGTTACCCTGGCCGCCCGCTGCCTCCGACTCGTTGCACGCGACCCTGGCAGTATTGGTGACCCGCCTACCGCCTGCCTCTTCCACTCGACGGCCCGCCGCTGAGGTGCTGCGTGAGGCTCCGGCCCACCGCTTTAGGTTCATTCGACTGTGCGCGCCCCGCTCCGACTGGACTCGCCGCTGGCGCGCTCGCCTGCGGCCGCTGACAAAAAGTCTCCCCACCAGGTTCGCCGTTGCAATTTAGGTCTTTGCTACTCGGCATCTTCCTGACGGCGCGCGGCTCTCCCGCTTGCGCTCGCGAACAAAACGTATCCCCACCGGGTAGGCTCCGCCCGTAGCCCAGGTCGACCTTTGACGCCGCCTGCGCCTTCGCTTGCGGCTGCGACAGCAAAAATCCCCACCAGCCTCGTAGCCCGGGCTGACTTCGGACGCCGCCTGCGCCTTCGCTTGCGGCCGCGACGGAAAAATCCCCACCAGCCCGTCCACAAACAATGCCCGTGCGAGTTGCCTTGAACAGGGAAGCGGAGGAGCATGCAGTAGATCAGCAGCTGGGGAAGCCGTCAAACTGAAGTCTTGGATCAGCCTGCGCAGACCCAGGGGCGAACCGTATGCGCCTTCGCGGACCTGCCGGATGAGGAACGGCGGGGAAGAAGGACGAAGGGGGATGGCGAGGGGGAGGAGGAGGAGGAGGAGGAGGAGGAGGAGGAGGAGGAGGAGGAGGAGGAGGAGGAGGAGGAGGAGGAGGAGGAGGAGGAGGAGGAGGAGGAGGGGAGGAGGAGGAGGAGGGAGGAGGAGGAGGAGGAGGAGGAGGAGGAGGAGGAGGAGGAGGAGGAAGGAGGAGAAAGGAGGAGGAGGAGGAGGAGAGGAGTCGAGGAGTCGAGGAGTCGAGGAGTCGAGGAGTCGAGGAGTCGAGGAGTCGAGGAGTCGAGGAGTCGAGGAGTCGAGGAGTCGAGGAGTCGAGAGTCGAGGAGGAGGAGGAGGAGGAGGAGGAGAGGAGGGAGGCGGAGAAGAGGAGGATAAGGAGGAGGAATAATACGATGAATGATAGTAAACTTACTAATGGTAATACTAAGAATGCTCACCATAATACTAAGACGAATCATACTAAGCAGAAGAAGACGACTAATAACCATAGTAATATACTAATAACAGTAACACAGAGGAGGGGAGAGGAGGAGGAGGAGGAGGAGGAGGAGGAGGAGAGGAGGAGGAGGAGGAGGATCAAGCGGAAAGAGAACGAGGAGGAGGAGGAGGAGGAGGAGGAGGGGAGGAGGAGGAGGAGGAGAGGGAGGGAGGGGGAGAAATAGGGGGATGAGAGGAGGAGGAGGGAGAGGAGGAGGAGGAGGAGGAGGAGGAGGAGGAGGAGGAGGAGGAGGACAATGGCGATCTTCCTCGGGCGGCCTCTTGGGGCCTCTAGGGGGTCTGTTGGGAGCCTCTTGGCGGCCTCTTGGGCGCCTCTTGGGGCCTCCTTGGCGCCTCTTGGGGCCCTCTTGGGGCGCTCTTGGGGGTTTTCGAGGCGCTCTTGGGGCCATCTTGGAGGACATCGATCAACGAAGGGGATGGTTGCAATTAGCCTCCCCCCTCGGGAGGTCCTAAAATCGCCTCTTGGATCTCTCTTGGAGCCGTCTTGGAGCGCTCTTGGTCGCTCTCGGGGCCGTCCTGGTGCTCTCTTGGGCCTCTCTTGGAGCCCTCTTGGGCCATCTTGGAGCCATCTTGAGGCCTCGGACGGCTATCGGAAGCGAGCGGGCGGCGATGCAACAATCCGTGATTTTCCGAAGGTGTTTACAGGATTTTGACCTCTTGGGGGCCTCCTTGGAGGTCTCGGAGGCCTCTTGGAGCCGTCTTGGAGCGTTCTTGGGGCCTCTAAGATTCGTTCTCATCGACGCGGCGGCCCGACTGCATGGCACGACGCCGCACGCGAGGGGATGGGTCAGGGCAGCTGCGTACGCAAGTGGACAGCACGCCATCGTACCACCGGGCGAGCACGCGCGCGCGCCAGGATCGTCAGCCTCTGGCACGTCTCGGCAGCAGCGGCAACCGACCGCCGGCGCCGTGCAGACACTTCACTTGCAGAATTCTGGAACGGCGCGGCAGGTGCGCTATCCTTGTGCCGACGCTTTGCCCGACTTTTTCACTGCCGCGCTGCTGGCTTGGCGAGTGCCGCTCACACAGGCGAGGCCGCTGCAGCCTCGCAGAGCTACGGCGTCGCCTTGCAAAGCACGCGCCCCCGACCCTCTGCCGGCAGTACGGCCCGCTCTTCGGCCCACATGTGTGGAGCAGTGGGGCGCTCCCGCCTCCGCGGCCGCCACTGCGGGCCTCCGCGCGGGGAGGAGGCAGCGCGGCAGCAGCGACACAGGCATGCAAGCGCGCTGCTGAGGCTCAAGCTCAGCCCCACTCCTCCTCCTCCTCCTTCCTCCTCCTCCTCCTCCTCCTCCTCCTCTTCCTCCTCTTCCCTCCTCCTCCTCCTCGCTGCACAGAAGAAGCACAGGCCTCACGAGGTTTGCCGCGGTCTCCTGCGCTGCCGCCTCGACGAAGACACCGAGCTCGTGCCGCGGCTCCGCCGCGGCCCAGGGCGGGCGTCTGGCCTGCAGGGCCGCACGACGAGGGCGCAACGCGCCAGGCCTGGCCAGGACCCGCACTGCACCGACGGCCCTCACGACGGCGCAGCACCCCGGCCCCGCGCGACGCGCAGGAGACCGTGCCGGCCAAGCGCAGATCCCCAAAATCGTGGCGCCTGCGCCGAAGGCCGCCGCCCATGCTGACGACGCGGGGCGGGGCGGGGAGGGCGGCGCAGCGGCCAGGAGAGGCAGGCAGCGTGGACATGGCGACCCCGAGGGCCCCGCGGACGCGGCACCCGAGCACGACCGCCCTCCCGCGGCCCGAGGAGCGAGCACGCGAGGAGGAGGAGGACGCGAGCGGCGCACGAGGGCCCTGACGCCCAACAGCCCTTCCACGACTGGGGCCCTTGACCAGCACGCCGCCACCTAGCAGCACCGCGAGGGCGGACGCACCTCCAGCCTGGGCGATGGCGCGCACGGCGATGGACCTGGCGGCCCAGAGAGCCCCAACCATGTTTCTCAGCACGTGCCCTCGTCTTCGCCTCTCTCTGTTGCACTCCGGACAGTTTGCCTATCGGTTGCCCCGACTAGCCCCGCGCTGGTGTGGATTTCCTCTGCCTCGCCGCCGACGGAAAAGGTTTCTTAGCACGTCCGCCTTCAGTGCCACGATCGCCGAGCCCATGGCGGCGCTTGCCACCGCGTTGGCCCCGAGCTCCGCAGAGGCTGGCCACGGAGGCGATGGGCGCGGCGGAGGACTGCACAGCACCGCGCGCGCCTCTGCGGCGCCGGCTTCTCCGCATGCCCTCGCCGGGAGCTTCGGGACGCCGGCAGGCCGGTCGACGGCCAGGAGGTGCATCGGGACTCTCCTCTCGGCTGTGTGGGCGGCGCCCAACCACGGCCTCACGCACGGCTGGGGCAGCGGGGCTGCGGGCACCGCCGCGCGGGGGTGCCCCGCGTCCGCCAGCGTCGCGGCGCAGAGCTGGTCGCACACCGCGGGGCGGCGGCACTTCGGCGGCAGCCGACGCGCACGGCCGCCAGCGAGCGGCAGTGCGCTCGGGGCGGCGAGAGCGAGCGCGAGGGAGAGCCTGGTGACGTCCCGAACAGGCTCGGGCCGAAGCGGCCACCGATGATGATGCTGCTGATGATGATGATGGTGGTGATGATTGTGATGATGATGGTGATGATGATGATGCTGCTGCTGATGATGATGATGCAAGTGATGATGACGATGATGATGATCATGGTGATGACGACGACGATGATGATCACAATGACATCGACGATGATGATGTTGATGATGCTGATGATGCTGATGATGATGCTGATGATGGTGATGACGATGATGGTGACAATAATGCTGATGCTGAAGATGTTGATGATGAGGCTAATGATGATGATGACGATGTTGAAGATGATGACGACCATGATGATGATGATGATGATGATGATGATGAGGATGATGATGATGATGATGCTGATGCTGATGATGATGCTAATGCTGATGATGCTGCTGTTGATGATGATGGTGATGATGACTGTGCTGAGGATGAGTAGGAGGATGAGGAGGAGGATAATGCTGCTCCTGATGATGCTGAGGATTATGATGAGGAGAATAGTGCTGGTGATGCTGATAGGGGTTTTTGACTGCTCCTGACGATGGAAAAGATGAGAATGGTGACGATATGATGACGATGCTGCCGCTGCTGCTGATGCTGATGCTGCTGCTGATGATGATGCGGATGATGATGGAGATGAAGCTGATACTGATGATGATGACGATGGTGATGATGATGCTGATGATGGTGATGGCAGTCATGATGATGCTGATGCTGATTCCGACGTGATGATTATGATGATGGTAATGATGAGCATGATGATGGTAATGATGATAACGATGATGATGCTCATGATGATGAGGATGCTGATTTTTCTGATGATTCTGATGATGATTCTGACGACGATGACGATGACGATGCTGATGACGGTGACGATGACGCTGATGATGATAATGATGATGCTGCTGATGACGATAATGAGGATGATGACGATGACGATGTTGATGGCGATGGCGATGCTGATGATGATGATTATGATAATACTGGGGATGATGACGATGCTAATGCTGATCATGCAGATGATGATTGTGATGATGGTGAAGGGGGTGATGATGGTGATGATGCTGCTGCTGATGATGATGGTGATGATGATGATGATGCTGATATTGTCGCTCACGAAGATGATGACGATGCTGATACTGTCAATCGTGAACATGATGATGCTTACGACGGGGATGATGGTGGCCATGCTCATGATAATGATGATCATGATAATGATGATAATGATGCTGATGCTGATGATGGTGCCGCCGATGCTAATGATGATGCTGATGATGAGTATGATCTTGATGATGACGATGATGCCGATTATGATGATGCTGCTACTGATGATGATGCTGATCATGATGCTGCTACTGATGATGATGGTGCTGCTAATGATGTTGATGGCGATGCTGACGATGATGATGATGCTGGTGATGATGATGATGATGATGCTGATGCTGATGATGATGATGATGACGTTGATGATGATGAAGTTGAGGATGCTGCTGCTGCTGATGACGGTAATGATGATGATGATGCTGATGGTGAGGCTGATGATGATGATGATGATGTTGATGATGATGATGCTGATGATGATGCTGCTGATGATGATGATGGTGGTCGTGCTGGTGATGATGATGATGATGTTGCTGCTGCTGCTGATGATGATGATGATGATGATGATGATGCTGGTGATGATGATGATGATGATGATGATGATGATGATGATGATGATGATGATGATGATGATGATGATGGTGATGGTGATGCTGCTGCTGATGATGATGATGAGGAGGAGGAGGAGGAGGATGAGGAGGAGGCGACGGAGTTGGAGGATGATGAGGAGGAGGCGAATCAGCAGCATAGGAGGAGTAGGAGGAGGAGGAGGAGGAGGAGGAGGAGGAGGAGGAGGAGGAGGAGGACGGAGGAGGAGGGGGAAGAAGAGAGGAGGGAGGAGAGGAGGAGGAGGAGGAGGAGGAGGAGGGGAGGAGGAGGAGGAGAGGAGGAGGAGGAGGAGGAGGACGAGCAGGAGGAGGAGGAGGAGGAGGAGGAGGAGGAGGAGGAGGAGGAGGAGGAGGAGGGAGGAGGAGTAGGTGGAAGCTGCTCTCGCTGTCTTGCACGCGCTGTCGTTGCCTCCGTCGCTGCTGCCGCTGCTGCTGCCGTTGATGCTCTTGCTCCTGCTCATTCTGCCTTTGCTCCTGCTGCTGCTGCGGCTTGGCTCCCCTCGCTACTTTATTAGGGGAACAACGAGACAAGGTGGCAACCTAAACGGTCGCCGCTGGGGACTGCTCACCGCAAGCCAGAAACGATCAGCACATGTTTCTTTGCAAGTCTGGTCGATGCCTCACCGATGTGACTGCATCCAAGCGTTGCACAGTCGACCATCTACAAATCCGAAGTGTAATTCGTTATTTGTTGAATTCATGAGTTCGCCGTGCACTCTGCATCCGAATACATCGAGGATCTCAAGAGTTGGGCAGCTGTTAAGTCAGATCAGCGGCCCACGCCACTCGTTCATTCGCAACGGGGGTCATTCATTCGTGACGGATGGCCTGGGTGCGTGTAACATTCTTCCCCTCTCGCTCTCCCTCCCTCCCTTCTAACTTCCCTTCCTTCCTCTCTCCCCGCTCCCCCCGTCCCTCCATTCTTCTTGTTCCTTCTCCTATCCCTCCCGCCCCTCCCCCTCCTCATCTTCTTCCCTCGTCTCCGTCGCCTCCGTGTCCGTCTCCGTATCCTTCTCCTGCTCCTCCTTCTCCCTCCTCCTCCTCCGCTTCCTCCTCCTCCTCGCCCTCCCCCTCCTCTCCTCCTCTCTCCGTCTCCTCCGTCTCCTCCGTCTCCGCCTCCCCTCCTTCCTCACCTCCCCTCCCCTATTGCTCTTACTCTCGCTCCTCCTCCTGTTCTTCCGCGCCTTCCTTCCATTCGCTCCCCTTCTCTTCCTCCTGCTGATCCTTCTTTCACTCCTCTCTCTCTCTCTCTCTCCCCTGCTTCCATCGCTCCCATATTCCATCGCATTCCCTCTTCCTCCTCCTCCTCCTTCTTCTCGTCCTCCTCCTCCTCCTCCATCCTTTTCTTTCTGCTCCTCCTTCAGATTCGCGCGCAGGACTACCGAGACTATCGAACTGCGCTGCCGCGCGCATCCGCCACGGATCTCCTCCTCTCCCCACCCGGGTCTTTTGCAGAGGCGCCCGCCGGTGAGGCGGGCATCCTGCTGGCGCGTGCCCCGACAGCCCAGCAGCGAGAAGGCCTGCGCGCCCGGAGTAGCGGCCTTGGCGATGGTGCTACGGGACTGCGTGTGTGTGTGTGTGTGTGTGTGTGTGTGTGTGTGTGCGTGTGTGTGTGCGTGGGTGTGTGTGTGTGTGTGTGGGCTTCGCCTGGGGCTTCGTCCTTCCCTCTAGAGGTCGTCGGGCCGTTGCTGTCGCTCCTGCCTCCTCTTCTCCCCGGTTTCCGGGGTCGCCTCGGCTCCTGGGCGTCGCCTCCTCTGTCTCTTTGCTGTGCTCTTCCGGGCTATCCACCTGGGAGCTGGCGCTGGTCGCACTGCTTGCGTCCATCCGCGCCATGCGGTTCCTCAGCGAGCTACCCGCGTCACTGCGCGTGCCTGTCTGGCTTGCACGCCCGCTTTTCTGCACGCGCAGCCGTGTCGGCGGCGGTTTTTCGATAGACACATGTTCGGTGGTATATGATCAAAAACATTTTTTAGCGCGTTCCTCTGTTCCCACTCGCTGATTTGGACCTACTGGCCGCGAAGTAAGTGTGTGTGTGTTGTGTGTGTGTTGTGTGTGCGCGTGTGTGTGTGTGCGCGTGTGTGTGTGTGTGTGTGTGTGTGTGTGTGTGTGGATGTCTGTCTCTCTGTGTGTGTGCGTGTGTGTGTGTGTGTGTGTGTGTGTGTGTGTGTGTGTGTGTGTGTGTGTGTGGGCGTCTGTGTATGTGTGTGTAAATGTGTATGTGTGTAAGTGTGTAACCCTGAGCGGGCCCGGCTTCCGTCTCCCTCTTGCCACCGCCGGGGGCTCCTCCTCTCTCCCTCATGCATTGCGGCTTAATTCGCATTCGAATGCCCTGCCAATGCTTTCCCGCCGCGCAGTCACTCTGCTTAGCCGCATACGCAACAGTGTGTGTGTGTGTGTGTGTATATGTTTTTGTGTGTGTGTGTGTGTGTGTGTGTGTGTGTGTGTGTGTGTGTGTGTGTGTCTGGGCGTCTGTACGCTAAGGGGAGGGGTGGGTGGCTGGGCGGAGTGCTGGAGAGAGAGAGGGGGTGGGAGGCTCTGGACGAGCCCCTCTGTGCGCGTACAGACGGGACCTCGCGGGTGCCCCCCCCCCCCACGAGCCGAGGGCACGGGAGAGTGCAACCCCAGACGTGCTGGCGATGTTGATCGGCCACGCGCCGAGGGGTGCAGGGGGCTTCCTAGGAGCACCCCTGCTTCTTAGAAGGCGCGGGCCTTCTCTATCCAGGAGGGAAAAAGCACACAGACACAATTAATCCTCGATCCCTTAGAAAAATTGGAAAATATGGGAAGTGGGGGGGGGAGACACAAACCTAGAAAATATGGGGAAATATGGGGAATCCTGTTATTTGTGTGTATTTATTTGTGTGTCCTTGGGCCCCTTCATCTATGGATGTAAGGCCGGCGCCTTCTCAGAGGCAGCCTCCTAAGAAGCCCTCCCCCCTCCCCCTCCCCCTTGCGCGCGCCGCCAAGGTAAAACTACACGATGGAAGGTTTTTGGCTTTTTGGCAGCTTTCGGCATCTGGGCGCCCTCGCTGAACCCGGGGGGACGAAGGGGGGCGATTATACGCGCATCGGCCGCGGCACAGCGTGCGGCCAGCGGACCTCTGGGTCGAGGTGCCCGACAAGATGGAGCAGATGCAGAAGCAGATAGATAGTTTCGCGGGGCGTTGCAAGAAGATGCCGCGGCAGCTGCGCGAGTGGCCGGCCTACCACGACATGAAGAAGGACGCGCCCCCTCGCGCCAGCGTGCGGGAGGCAGAGGACGAGTCATGGCAGGGCGGAGGACGGCGGTGATATAAAACGACGCGAAGATCGGGACAAAATCGGATCGGGATAACTCGAAATCTCTGAGAATCGGCGGGTTTGGAGGATGTATTGGGCGCCGCGGCCGCTCCAGAGCGTTCCGGAACGCTCTGAGAGCGCTCCGGAACGCTCTGGAGCGATTTACCCCGATCCTAGCCCTGTCTTATGATAAGAAGCAGCAAGAAGTCATAGAAGGACAAAAGGTACAGCTACCGCTGCGCGTCTCGGAGAGCTCTCGTCGCTACGTCTGGATTGCTCTGTACATATTCTTGTCAGAACGCACCATGGGAGCGGTGAGGGGGCGGTATCGGGACAGTCGGGCCGAGGCATAGCATCGAGGTCGGTTCGAGGAGGATGCCCTCGTGTTCTTCGTGCTTGGTGGATGTTCTTGTGCATCCTGGGGAGGGTACCCTTGGATGTTCTGTTCGTTTTGGTCGACGGAAGGTCTCATGTTTCTGAAGGATATTCTTCTGGCCTGTGTCTGACTGTACCTTCAGGAGGAGGATTAAGTGGATGAGAAGTAGGAGCAATGCCGACAGTGAGTCACAAAGGGGGAGGTCGACGACGAGGGGGAGGAGCAGAGGGGAGGAAGCGAAGTAGCAGGACACGGAGGGTGATATGGGATGGTGGTCTTGCATGGGGTGGAGACGGGAAGAAACTGTGGACGACGTCTGGGGGGAAGCGCGAAATAGAAGACGACAAGGAGGACGAGCAGGGAGATGAGGCGAGGCGGCGGAGGAGGATGATGAAACTTAGGAGGATGACGAGTCTGCGAGGGAGGGAGGAGGAAAGGAATGAGGAGTCAGCAGGGGTGGATGTGGAACGACAGATTCTGGACCGCTGCTGCACTGGCCCACGGCAGCCCATAATCATCGTGGCCCATACGCGGCTGATATGACGACGTGGTCCGCTCAGCTTTCCAGAGGCGCGTCTGCAGGCAGCCCAGCTTTCGCGAACGTAAGTTTGGACACTTGTTGGCTGATGTTAGTGCTCGGCTGTTGGCGAATAGCACGAGTTGGGCACGGCGGTGTCTGACTGCCGCTCCGTTCGTAACACAGTGCCGCTGGCGCCGCTCCTCGACCTGCCGCCCAGGAGCGCGCGCGCGACATCCACACCGGGCTCGAGCGTCGGGCTGCCTCTCTTGACGGCGGCCCCACGTCTATACAGTGCCGTTTTTTTTAATACATGCTCCGCGTGCGGATCATGTATAACAGATGCAGGGATTTAGTTGTAGAAACAGCGATGAGTTCATGCATACATTCATTCATAAATGAATCATGTATTAAAATCCTATATGCTTAGAAATCCGATGTCTTGAAAACTGCCCTGTATCTTTTTGGGGGACCTTGCATGATCCTGTCGCGCTGCTGTGGAGCTCCAGGTCGGGGGTCCGGGCGGCACCCCGAGCCGCCCCGGCCCCGCCCGCCCCGCTCCCTGGCAGAGGCGCTGGGGCCCTGGTGGCCACCCTCGCCCTGCAGGGCCGCAGACTCTGTGTAGTCTGTCCTGGCATTCGGATGTGCGGGCCACCCTTTCCCCCCGTCCGCCTCCTCCTCCTCCTCTTCCTCCTCCTCCTCCTCCTCCTCCTCCTCACTGTCTTCGACCATCGCGGCGTGAGGGCGCCGCGCTGTCGCTCGTCGGCCGCTCCCGCGGCCGCTCAGGAGACTCGCGCGAGGCGCCGCGCTCCTCCTCCATGCCCGTCCCCCTCCTCGCCCCTCCCGCGTCTCCGTCCTCCTGCTTCTCCTTGTCCTCGTCCTCGCCCTCTTCCTCCTCCTCCTGCACTTCCTCCTGTTGCCCATCCCTCCTCCCCCTCCTTGGCCCCTCCTCCCCCTGCTCTTCCTGTTTTTCCTCCTTTCCTCCTTATCTCCTTTGCTCCTTCCTCCAACTCCATGTCTTCCTCATTGTAGATGTCGTCGTCTTCCACATCCTCCTCATCATCCTCTTCTCATCCTCCCCCTCCTCTTCCTCCTCCTCTTCTGCTTCCTCTCCCCCTTCGCCTCCCCCTCTCCCTCTCATCCCGTCTCCTCCGCCTCCCCTCCCCCTCCCCTCCACCTACCTCCCATCCACCTCCCCTGCACCTCCTCTACACCTTCCCTACCCCTCCTCCGCACCTCCACCCGCACCTCCTCTCCTTCTCATCCTCCTCCTCCTCCTCCTCCTCCTCTTGTTGCTCCGTCTTTTTCGCCTCCTCCTCCTCCTCCTCCTCCTTCTCCTCGTCGCACACGGGCTCACGCGAGTGTTCCGGTTCTAGTTTCTGGAGGCGCCCTGGGAGGTCCCGCTCGAGGTGTCCAGGCTGCGCCGTGTAGGACTCGCCATAGCAAAGTTTTCATCCTTCACCCCGTTGGCGGTGGAGTCGTCTATCTTTGGCCCCCTCTGCGGTCATAGGCAAGTAGTCGTTCGAGTGGAACTTAAAGCGTTTCATCTAGCTTTGTAGGTTGCGCGGGGACACGTGCTGTACATGGCAGAATTTCAGCCCTTGGCAGCAGGTTTGTACACCAAGGCTTGCTTGGGTCCGAAAGGCCCCTATGCAGATTTGTTGGCCTGGGTTGCCGAGCTCGCGCAGCACAGGTCTTATAGCCAGGCCGCTGTGCTTTTCACACGAAGTCATCAAGGCGGGGATGGTATAGTGTCAAGGCGCTCCGTGGGCGGCCTCGTGTTAGCCAACACCGTAGCCGATGAGCTCGCGGTTTGTGCAGCAAGTGCGTGTGTAATACCAGAAGCCGTTCGACACCAGGTCCATCTTGTTGAGCATGAGGCCATGCTGGTCAGAATGCGTCTCCTGTGTGCTACACCGGACTCTGGCCTGCTGCGAATGCGGTTGCTTGAAGGGCGAGGGATGGGAAACGAGAGGGGGCCCGCCTCCCCCACTCCCCCTCCTCCCCGCTGCTGCTGCTGCTGCTGCTGCTGTTGCTGCTGCTCTCGCCCTTCTCATGTCGGCTCACAGGCTTTCGGAGTGTAGACGCACATGCCGTAAGTGTTTCGGGTCGGCCACGCTGGCCACTGCTGCCGAGTGGTGGAAGACTGCCTGCCCTGCTCCAGTCACCGTAGATGGCATCATCTTGTCCCCCTCTAAGGGGGCCCGGCTCCATGTTGCGGGGGGCTGGCTGCACACCTCCCGCCTCTCTAGCTATCATGCTCATCTGCATGTGTGGTCTTGCGGGTACTGCAGGGGTATCGTTGATATAGTCGGGGCGCTGACTAAGGAACCCTTTTCGTTGGGGAAGGGCTCCGTGTTCCTTCATTGTTTTACATTTTGCCCCAGGTGATCCTTGGATTCTCAACGGGAAGTCGAAGTTGAACTCCTGGAGCAAAGGGGCCTCGTTCCTTATCTAGGGTTCCTTAGGTCAACGCCCCGACGGTGAGCAGCTTCGGTCCTTTGACAAGCCCTGTGCGCCCCCCCCACCCACCTGTACGGGGCGTGAATAGTTCGATCGCGTAAGGACTTGGAGGACCCCCAAAGTCCGAAGCACAGCCGGCCAAGTGTGGAACCCGCGAAGGTATTCTCTTTACTGTGGTCTGCTCGGTACTGGCAGCGCCACTGGTTCCTATTCCTACTCCTAGTCACCCTCCTCTCCATCCTCCCTCTCTCCCCCTCCCTCACCCTCCTCCTCTTCCTCCACTTCCTCCTGTTCCCCGTCCCTCCTTCCCCTCCTCTCCCTCTCCCCCGTCTCCCTCTCCTTCCCCCTCCCCCCATTCCCCGTGTTCGCTTCTGGTATCGCCGAAGTCTCCCGGCGGCGATTGCAAGAATAAGGACAGCGCAGGGATGGTTGTGGGCCATCGTCATATCTGATCCAGGGTTACCCCCGCCAATGCGTACGGGGTCGAGCCCCCACCCGCCCCGCTGGATGGGTGCGCCCGTGATCCTCGCGACGGCCTCGCGAATGGGATCGCTCCCCCCCTCTGGTTGTGGCCCTGTAGGTGTGGCGTGGTGGAGGTACCAGTGCACCTCCCCTCCCTCCCCCTATGGGTGTGGGGTGGCTGGTCGTCGTCGTCGTCGTCGGCGTCGTCGTCGTCGTCGCCGTCGTCGTCGTCGTCGTCGTCATCGTCGTCGTCGTCGTCGTCGTCGTCGTCGTCGTCCGTCGTCCGTCGTCGTCGTCGTCGTCGTCCGTCGTCGTCGTCGTCGTCGTCGTCGTCGTCGTCGTCGTCGTCGTCGTCGTCGTCGTCGTCGTCCGTCGTCGTCGTCGTCGTCGTCGTCGTCGTCGTCGTCGTCGTCGTCGTCGTCGTCGTCGTCGTCGTCGTCGTCCGTCGTCGGCGTCGTCGGCGTCGGCGTCGGCGTTCGGGTCGGCGTCGGCGTCGTTCGTCGTCGTCGTCGTCGTAACCGTCGTCGTCGTCGTCGTCGTCGTCGTCGTCGTCGTCGTCGTCGCCGCCGTCGTCGTCGTCGTCGTCGTCGTCGTCGTCGTCGTCGTCGCCGCCGTCGTCGTCGTCGTCGTCGTCATCTGCGTCGTCGTCTGCGTCGGCGTCGTCGTCGTCGTCGTCGTCGTCGTCGTCGTCGTCGTCGTAACCGCCGTCGTCGGCGTCGTCGTCGGCGTCGTCGTCGTCGTCGTCGGCGTCGGCGTCGGCGTCGTTCCGTCGTCGTCGTCGGCGTAACCGTCGTCGTCGTCGTCGTCGTCGTCGTCGTCGTCGTCGTCGTCGTCGTCGTCGTCGTCGTCGTCGTCATCCTCGTCGTCGTCTGCGTCGTCGTCTGTGTCGGCGTCGGCGTCGGCATCGGCATCAGCGTCTGCTTCGGCGTCGGCGTGGGTGTCGGCGTCGTCATCGCCCCCCCGTCCCTCCATCTCATCTGGGGGGGCCTGTGGAACCTTCGACCTGGGATCATATCTGGCTCAAGCTTGAAAAGTCAAGTCCCCTCCTCCCGCTTCTTTTCGTTCCCACTCTCCCCCTCTTTTTCTCCAACCCCCTCCCTCTTCCCCCTTTTTTCCCCCTGTGGGGACGCTTGAAAGACGAGGAGGCGTAGGAGGAGGAGGAGGAGGAGGAAGAGGAGGAAGAGGAGGAGGAGGAGGAGGAGGCGGAGGAGGAGGAGGAGGAGGAGGAGGCACAAGGAGGGATGCGCACCCCCCTCCCCCCCCCGCGTAGGAGATCGAGGACTTCCAGGAGGCGCCCCGCCCCGCCCCCCCAAGCTCGCCCCGGGAGCGCCCGCCCGGCCCTCCCGCACCGGCGCGCCCCTCGCGGCGAGGGGGCCCGTCCTCGGGGAGGCGGGCGGGGAGGAGGTGGAGGGGGAGGACGGGGAGTGCTCGAGGAGGGGGGGGGGGAGGGGGAGAAAGAGTTCCAGGGCGGTTTCGGGGGGCTTTCTTGGGCCATCTTGGGCGCCCTGGGCCGTCTCGGAAGCTCTTCCCGAGGCCGCCTTGGGCGTCTCCCGGGGCCGTCTTGAGCCCTCTGGGCCTCACCCAGGGCCGTCTGGGGCTCTCCTGGTCGGGACTCGCGTGGAGCCTTTGGAAGGCCTTCTTCGAAGCCTTTCTGGCCCTTGGAAGAAATTGGGAGGCAGTGGCGCCGCCTTGACAGCTGGGAGCACCCAAGAAGCGCGTGTGCCGTTGTGCGAAGGGATTGGGGCAATTTTGGCTTCTCAGGGCTCTCCAGGGGCTCCCGGTGGAGCCCTCTTGAAGCGTATTGGGAGCCTCCTGGGCCGGTTTGAGGCCATCTTGGGGCGTCTCGGGGCGCTTTGGTGCCGTCTCGCGACCTTCTTGGGTTATATTGGAGCTGTTCCGAACCTTTTTAGGGATTTGTGGTCGGCCTGGGGGCCGCCCAGGGGCCGAACATCGTTATGTGCCGACGAGGTGCGGGCCATAGATGGGTATCTTGTTATTGGATGAGGACTCTCTCGATGTACATTTTACGTGTATATATACGTGTATACACACACACACATATATATATATATGTATATATGTCGGCGGTGCGCCGTGGCACGAACCCCCCCCCCAGCACTACCGGGGGGTTTCGTGCACTACCGGGGGGTTTCGTGCAGCCCGCACCGGGTGCCGCCAGCGGCTTAGAACACCCCCCCCTTGCCGCTTTACCGGGGGGTTTCGTGCAGGCCGCATTGGGTCCTCCCCTGTCGCTTTACTGGGGGGTTTCGTGCAGGCCGCACTGCATCCACCTGGGCTCCCCCCCCCCCCCTGTGGGAGTGGGGGGGTGGGAGTGGGGGGTGGGTTGGGGGGGGGGGCAGGGGGGCGGTTGGGAAGGGTGGCTCCCTGTCGAAGTGTGGCGTGTGCTCGCCTTGTGTTCTCTATTCGCGTCTGCTCGCCTTTGTTCCGCCGCAGCCTCTCGTATTGTGGCTCGTGGCCACAATACGAGAGGCTGCGGCGCAACTCCCGAGAGCCGCTGTGGGGGGTCGACGGCACGGCCGCGTAGAGAAGAACAGTGCCGCCGTGTTCCGGCACGGCCCTGGGATGCAATGCCGCCGCCGTGTTCCGGCCCGTCCTGGTAAGATTCGCGCGTCGGGGCTGGGGTTCGCGCCGCTTACGGAGGGGTTGCGTCCTTACCGGGGGGTGTCGTGCAGCCTACCAGAGGAGGTCGTGTTTACCGGGGGGTTTCGTGCAGGCTCGCACCGGGAATGGCGCCAGCTCGAAACCCCCCAGGAGAGATTACCGGGGGGGGGGGCTCGCTCCGCACCGGGCACCGCCGACATATATAGGTGTATCGGTACTTCGGTGTTCGTATGTGGCTTACACCGGAGTTGGATGGTCGTGCCGAAGATTCGCCACGTTGCTGCCCACGCTGCCTCTTTGCACGTTGCTGCCCACGCTGCCTCTTTGCCGCCTCGCTGCCGCATCCCTGCGGCCTCGCGCGTTGGGCGAGCGGACTGAAGCAGAGGAGGAGGAGGAGGAGGAGGAGGAGGAGGAGGAGGAGGAGGAGGAGGAGGAGGAGGAGGAGGAGGAGGAGGAGGAGGGGTAGGGGAGGAGGAGGAGGAGGAGGAGGAGGAGGAGGAGGAGGAGGAGGAGGAGGAGGAGGAGGAGGAGGAACAGGAGAGTGGGGGACGCTTTGGAGTTGCAAGTGGCTCCCGCGGGGCCTTTTTTCGGTGCTTACTGGGCCGTCTGAGGGGGTTCTAGGGGAGCCTGGGGTGTTTTGTGGGGTATTTCTCTCTGTGTCTGTGTGTGTGCGTGTGTGTGTGTGTGTGTGTGTGTGTGTGTGTGTGTGTGTGTGTGTGTGTGTGTGTGTGTGTGTGTGTGTGTGTTGCGTGCGTGCGTGTGTGTGTGTGTGTGTGTGTGTGTGTGTGTGTGTGTGTGTGTGTGTGTGTGTGCGGTGTGTGCGTGTGCGTGTGCGTGTGCGTGTGCGTGTGCGTGGCGTGTGTGTGCGTGTGCGTGTGCGTGTGCGTGTGCGTGTGCGTGTGCGTGTGCTGTGTGGCGTGTGCGTGTGCGTGTGTGTGTGTGTGTGTGTGTGTGTGTGTGTGTGTTGTGTGTGTGTGTGTGCGTGTGTGCTTGTTGCGTGTGCGTGCGTGTGCGTGTGCGGGTGCGTGCGCGTGTGCGTGTTGCGTGTGCGTGTGCGTGTGCGTGTGCGTGTGCGTGTGCGCGCGTGTGTGTGTGTGTGTGTGTGTGTGTGTGTGTGTGTGTGTGTGTGTGTGTGTGTGTGTGTGTGTGTGTGTGCGTGCGTGCGTGCGTGCGTGTGTGTGTGTGTGTGTGTGTGTGTGTGTGTGTGTGTGTGTGTGTGTGTGTGTGTGCGTGTGTGTGTGTGTGTGTGTGTGTGTGTGCCCTGGGCTGTTTGGGGGGTCCTAGGGGCATCGGGGGCACGTCCGAGCGGAGGGCGGAGGTGGTGGGCGGCTGGGAAGTAACTCTAGTCGTCGCGACGGGGGAGGAAGAGGATGAAGCGGAGAAGTCCGCAACCACTGCGGCTCAAGTTCTGGAAGTTGCCCCACTGCGCTTGCGGCCTCTGTCCAGAGTTTCGCTGATACTGATGGGGCCATTTCCTGAGCAGGACCCCCCCCTCCGCAGAGCGATCTTCGCAGCTACGCCGGGATGAGGGTCAGAGGCTGCCCCCACGGGCATGCAGAGCTGGCGCGTGTGCGGCTGCTCTCCGCGGGGGGCGGCGCGGAAGGCGACGCCCGCTGGCGCAGCTCTCTTCCTGGGAGGGGGCAGCGGCCGCACGCCCAACGCCGGTTTTTCCGCCGCGGCGGGGCCTGCCGCCCAGCCGGACGTGCCAGCGCGAGCTGGACCTTGTCAGCACCGCGAGTGCAGTCCTTCCTGGTGAGCTGCCCGGGCTGCCCGAGCTGCCCGAGCTGCTGGCGCGCGGCTCGGCCCTCGCTCCCGCTCGGCTCGGGCAGGCCGTCGCCGGGGCCGCCGCCAGAGCCGAGGCGTCTGGCTGCAGCACGCCTCGCCGGCCGAGGCCGCATGCGTGCCCGTGCGCCGTGCGGTGTGACGCACGGTAGAGGGAAACAATTACTGAACACACCCCCTCCCCCCCAAACTCGATGTTGGCACGCGGGGGGGGGGACTGCGGTCGAAGTGCATCTCATCAGACCCACCGCCAACTCTGAACATTGGGGGGAGGGTGAGGCGTTGACGGATGAATGTGGCATGTGTTCGCTAATTTGTTCCGAGGCCTGTATGGCCAGGACTTCGGCCCGAGCGCCCGATTTGGGGCAAGGGCCGCTCTGGTTCGGGTCCTCTGTGCCCGGCGTTACCGCCCGTCCGCAGCAGTGCCGGCAGCAGCGTGCAGGGCCAGCAGCAGTGTGCTCTCTGCGGCCGGGTCGTCCCTGTTTGCCGATGCACCGCTGACTTGCTCGGCTTCTGCGTCTCTGTCTCTTTCTTGATTTTAGGAGGGGCTCGAGTTTTCCAGGGCACTTCATTCGGCACTTCCTTCGTTCCTCACGCGAGATTTCTTGTGCCAGACCCTGACTGTACTACCCACGCGTTCCTCAGGATGGATTGTCGAGGAGGACGCTCGGAGGCCGCGAAGTCGGCCCAGGATGGCCCAAGACGCCCCTTGAAGACTGTAGAAGACTCCCTGGGATCACATGAGCTCCAAGAGACGAGTCAGGAGGCCCAACGAGAGGCCTGGGACACTCCAATTCCGTCGAAGCACTCATGTCTTGCTTAAACGTGTTTCAGTCCCCACGGTTGTCTCCAAAATCTGATTTCCCGAGCACTTTAGAGTGCCCCAAGCTGGCCCAAGGACGGTCGAGCGACAGAAGCAGGACTCGACTGCGCACCGGAAGGGCCCAGAGACGGCCCAAGATGCCTCCGGAGGATGCCCAGGCGGCCCAAGGGCCCCGACGGGGCCCACGGGATCCCCCGAACGGCCCCGAGATGCCCTGGGCCGGGCTCCAGAGGGCCCCCGACGCGCCCGATCTGTGAGTACGGACTCTGACGCATCTCGTTTGGTCATCTGTTTCTGGTTTGGTCGGGTATGCCTCTCTCTCCGGGAGGAATGTGTTCAAGAGCAGTTGCACATCGTCAGGTGGCGATGTTTCGATCTTTCTTTTTTTTCAGGGGGGGCCATTCCTGAATCTTGTCTGGGCTGCTCTTGAGCTTCTTCCCTGGAAGCCGCCCGTAGAAGGACGTGCCCGACCTACAGTCGGGCTGCTGAAATAAGGAACGCTAAATAAGGAGCGACGCCCCTCTGTGGCTTCAAGAAAGACTGGGTGCACGAGAAGGGCCAGAGGAACAGCCTCGGCAGGACGTAGGGAACATCGAGCCCTTTCCGAGTCTCAGAGCGTGAATTACCTACCCCGCCTTCGCTTCCAGGAAAAACCAAGTCATACCACGCGCCTCCTCGTCGAGCGGCCTGACCAGTGCAGGCCGCAGTTTGGCATCGCTTGGTATCTCCTGGAAGCAAGGGTGGTCAAACGCGAGGTAGGTTTGTTTCCCCCCTAGAGCCCAAGCTGCTCCTTGTTTCAGCGTCTTGGCTGCAGGTCCGCGTGGGCCTGCCCAGCGGGAACCGCGAGCCTCCGCTCATCGGGGGGGCGGGCGGCGGGCACGCGCCCCGTGTCGGGCAGAGCACCAGGACCCCAGGTACGGGGGGACCCGGTCAGCAGCAGGGCCCCCTGGAGCCCCGAAACCTGCCCGAGCCACCAAGCCAGGCCTGCCGCAGCACATGCATGACGTACAGTCGAGGCGTTGGCCTAAGGAACCCTAAATAAGGAACGAGGCCCCTCTTTTCCATAAGTTAACCTTCGATTTCCTGTCGAAAACATAAGGAAAGCCTGAGGCAAGCTGTGAAACACTTAAGGAACGCGGAGCCCCTCCCCAACCAAAAGGGTTCCTTCTGCCATGGCCCCAGGTACGGGGGGACCCTGTCAGCAGCAGGGCCCTGGAGCCCCGAAACCTGCCCGAGCCACCGAACCAGGTCTGTCGCAGCACATGCACGACGTGCAGTCGGGGCCCTGAAGAAGGAACCCTTTTCGTTGGGGAGGGGCTCCGTGTTCCTGAAGTGTTTCGCAGCTTGCCCTGGATTTCCCTTCTAGGCTTTCGATGCGAAATCGAAGTTCAACTCATGGGAAACAGGCGCCTCGTTCCTTATTTAGGGTTCCTTAGGTCAACGCCCCGACTGTAATGCCTTTTCCGCCGTCTGCGTAGCACACGTCTCATCTCTTCCCGGAAGCAGCGGGGCATCAGAGGCTGGCAGATATCACGCGGCAAACAGGCCACGGGTCTGCCGCAGCGGGTGCTTTTTCGGGTGGCGGCAGCTCTGGTTCGTGGAACGGGCGGGGGGGGGGGCGTCCCCCAGCGCACACCACTGAACCAGGTCCCGCCGAACCCAGTTCTGCCAACGCCCGACTGTTCTCGGTGGCTCCCCCCGCGCCAGGAACGCTTCGCGGAGGGCTCTCCGGAGGCCCACGACCGCCCATCGCCTGGCCAAGGCTGCTGAAGCCCGGCCTGAAGTCGGGCATGTCCCTCTGCAGGAGGCGTCTTCAACCGGCGTCGAAGCATAGTCGGGGGGCGACTTCTTTGGACTATCCTTGGCTATTTTGGAGTATTTCTGGGCTATTTCCCATTTTTCGTCCAAAATCCGCCTCCTTCGCTTGGGGAGCCGACGTGGCACATCACACGAACACCGCGGAGGTCCGCGCCGATTTCGCTCGGCTCGGCGCTGGGGAGCCCCCTGGCGGCGCCTCCGGCGCCGTCCCCCCGCCCACCCAACCCAGGAGATCCTGGCGGGGCACCTACTTGGGCGGCCGCAGAAGGAGGGGGGCGATGAATGGGGGGCAGCGAGAGCTGCGGAAAGGCGCCCTTGAGGGCCCTTTAGCACCCTAAAGGGGCCCTCTCGGGCCCAGAAGGGAGCCGGTAGGGCCCGAAAAAAGGCACATCTGCTCCCCCCTCCCCATGTATCGTCCCCCCATAACTTCGCGCCCGATGTATGACAACCTGCGATCTCGCTTTGTTTCGTGCCCCAGGACCCTCGCAGATCGATGCAGCTTGAATAATGCAGCAGAAAGACTGGGTCTGGGGCTCGGGCCGTGATTTTTCGCGACGCTGAAATTGCGCGCCACGGAGGGGGGTCCAACACCGATTCAAGAAATCCGCGCGGCCCTCTAGAATTTGATGCTTATGCTATTTCTGTGTTCCTCTATCCATCCTTCTCCTACTGCTGCCACCTGAGTGAGTCTGCCTCCGTTTCACATTTCTGAGGCCACGGCCCCGACGCCATGCCCTCAAGCACGGGCGGGCTCCCTTGGAGCGTGCACGACCCCGGCGTTCGCTTCGCTTTGCCTCGCTTGCGCAGTGTGCACTGCTCACGTGCCTGCTGGACGCACGGCGTCTTTCTTCGGTGCCGTGCGCGATGCCCACCTCCTGCTCCTCCTCCTCCTCCTCCTTCTCCTCCTCCTCCTTCTCCTCCTCCTCCTCCTCCTCCTCCTCCTCCTCTCCCTCCTCCTCCTCCTCCTCCTCCTCCTCCTCCTCCTCCTCCTCCTCCTCCTCCTTCTTCTCTCCTCCTCCTCCTCCTCCTCCTCCTCCTTCTCCTCCTCCTCCTCCTCCTCCTCCTCCTCCCTTCCCTTAGGCTCTCCCTCTTCCCCTCCTCGTCGTCGTCCTCCTGCTCCTCCCGTGCTAGCCCAGGTTCCCGGGGAGCCCAGGGAGGAAGTTCGGGAGTTTTCGGTCAGAGGTTTGAGTGGTTTTCGGGCGTTTTCGTCGGTTCTCGGCTGTTCTTCCAGCGGCTGCGCCTCGCCGGCCCGCGTCGTCGTCCCAAACGGCCTCCGGGGACCCAAGCTATGGCCCGAATACCAGACGACGCAGATCCTTGACCAGGCAGGCAGAAGGCGATGGGGCTTCTTCGAAGCCCTCGCGCCTTGGGATGAGTTTTGTTTGTGTGTGTGTGTGTGTGTTCGGGGAAGTCTTAGAAAGCTCCTCATAAGACCCGAGGCGTTCCGAGCCTGATGAGAAGGCCCGCCACCTCTGTATTCCCCCCTGGGCTCGCAGCCGACAAGGGGCCTGGGGCACATACGGTTGGCGAGGGGAAGATAGCGTGTGATGCTCGAAGAGGGTCCGCGCTGATTTCTTGGATTTGCGCTGGGCGCCAGAGCTCCTTGGCGGCTTCTTCGGCACTGCCCCTGGCGCGCTCCGCTCGTTAGGGATGGGGTTCCAGCTCAGATCGAAGAGCTCCGCGAGGACCGTCAAAAGTTGGCCACCCAGACGGGGTCGGAGCAGATGGTGTCGGAGGATCGCGCCGCACCGCCGATGCACCGACGAGGCGGCTCGAAGTGGGGCCAGAATTCCTCCACGCCGATGGTCAGGAGGGGAAAAAACACACAGACACAATTATTCGTCGATTCCCCAGAAAATATGGGAAACTATGGGAAGTGGGGGGGAAGACAAAAATCCAGAAAATATAGAAACATATGGGGAATTATGTTATTTGTGTGTATTTATTTGTGTGTTTGTGGGCCCCTTCAGATGGTGCCGATGCATCGCCGTGGCATCGCCGACGGAGCGGCGATGCCTCGGCGACGCGGCGCGAGCCTCCAGCCCCCAGCTCCTGGAGCCCAGCTCCTCGGAGGACGGCAGGAGAGGCAGCGTGCGGTGTGGCGCCGCCGGCCGGCCTGTGGCACGCTATACTTCTCGCCCGGGGGGGTACAGTGCCGTGCTTCATTCGGGCCGGGCGACAGGGGGGGATGGGGAAAGGGGGGGTACGAAATTTGCTGCATGCAGCTGGGTTCGGCCTCACCGAGGAGCCCATTCCTCGATACGTAGCCGCCTCCGGCGCCGGGAGGCGCCGGGAAAATCAGCTACGTGAGCTGATTCTCACCCCCCCCCTTTGCTATCCCTCCCTTTCGCCGGACCCGATTAATACATGCTCCGCGTGCGGATCATGTATATAAGAGGCAGGGATTTAGTATTAAAAGCAACGATGACTTCACGCATAAGTTTTCTTCATACATTCACCATGTATCAAACATCATATTTGTTTTTTACAACCCTATGTATCAAAACAACTGCCCTGTAGCGTGCACCGAAGGAGCCCCTGCAGGGGAATGGCGTACAACCCCCTGGATCAAAAAATGCGGCCCCGCGCAAGTCTCCGCAAAAGCTCGAAGACTGACCGGATTGGTTTACCAGAGGAGCTCGCACACACGAAATCGCAAGATCTGGGGGCCCTGGTTCCCTCGCTCCGCGCGCTGCGCGGTGGCCTCCCGCGACCGTCCAAGTAGCTGCTGCGTTCAGAGTGCCCTGGGCTCATCCCACCTGCATCCTCCCGCCTGCGGGTTGCAGGGCTTGTTTTTTTTTGTTGCGAGGGCTTCCTGCGGCCGCGCCCGCCCTGTGGCACCCGACAGCGCCCACATGGCGCCCCAGTGCGCCCGTCGTGCACCAAAGGCGGGAGCCGCATCACGGCAGCGGCGCGCGCATTCTCGGCGCTGTCGGGCGCGCTGGTGGGCGCCACGGGGACGATCAACGCCTTCCGTCTCAACGGCAAGCACAAGGTGAGTGAGCCTGCCGGCCGGCTCCTCCTTCTCCTCCTCCTCCTCCTCCTTCTCTTCTTCCTCCTTTCCCCCCCACCCCCCAGCGTGAGATCAGTTACATACCTGTCGGCGCCCATGCGCCATCGCTCCGCCCTCGTAGGGCCATCCCATGTGACGTGGGGGCGCAGCGTCAGCGCCAGTGTCCTGTCTTGTCAGCTGGGAGGTCTGGCCCGCGGAATGGCCGAAGCATGCCCGTAGGGCGATAAAGGCTGTGCAGGCTGCGCCCGCGGTCCCGCCGCGGTTCGCGGGAGCCCCGCTGTGTTGCGTATCCGTGTATCTGTTGCTTTCCTTCTCCTCCTCCCCACGGAACAGTATATGCCACACGCCGAAAGCATGTAGGAGCGAGAGACACCTGGAGCGTACATCCGTTCGTGACGCTTCGCGCACCCCAGCCAGCCCATCTTCGGAGGCCTAGAGGTTGACACCAGCACCATTATCGTGGGTGTGCCCCCATCGAGGCAAGACGATCCCGACCTCGGTTATGGTGGTAACATTCGGGCTTCCAGGTGGCCGAAATATCACCACCAACACAAACATCCAGGATCATCTTCCCCTGGTGGAGGTGACCCCCTGTGTTGGTGTTGGCGCGCACTTCCAAGCCTCCAACATCCAGCAGCGATGACCAGTGAGAGAACGCAGGAACAACGCGTGGGGGAGGCCGTCAAGCCAGCGGTCGGGCTCGGCCTGTCCCGGCCCGGCTGCCAACCGCAAGTGTCCTCGCGGATCCTTCGAGTTGGGAGCTTGCTGGCCTTTTTCGTGGGGGCCATCTCGGGGTCATCTTGGAGGCCTTCGGGGCTCTCTCATGGCCCTCTAGGGGCCGTCTTGGGGCACTCTTGGGGCCCTCTTGGGGGCCTTGAGGGCGCTCCTGGGGCCATCCTCGTGGCCATCGTGCACAGACGGGGGGGGGGGGCCAACTACTCGCGCCCCCCACTCTAGGGCCCCTCGTCGGCCACTCTTCGGGCGCTCTTGGGCCATCTTGGAGCCATCTTGAGGCCTCAAGCCATCGGAACCGAAAAGGCGAGAAGAAGCACACACGTTGATATCCTCCAGGTTTTGACGGGTGTAGGCCTCTCGGGGGGGGGGTTCTTAAGAGGTTCGGTGGCCACTTGGAGCCGTCTCTGGGCATTCTGAGGGCTTCCTGGAGGCATACAGTGGGCTATCCCGAATTCGCTTGGACTGTGCTGTGCGATCTCGGAGGCCCTCCTGAGCTATTGGGGGGCCAGCTTGGGACCCTCCAGTGACCCCCAGCAGGGCCCGCCCAGACCCAGGCGGAGGGGTAGGGAGGAGAGGCGAGTCCCTCCCTGAAGGGGAAGACTGAGGCTGGAAAAGACCTGGCTCATCTCGGGCCATCGCAAACGTGGATCAAGGGGGCGTGGATTAGCGACGGGTCCCGTTCCCGTGGGAAATCGCGGATGTCCGCCGCCGAAGGACGCGGCACCGGCCACATTTTGGGGAGGGCATCTCCCCCGATCCATGGGTTTGGTGACAGCGCGCCAAATCCACGGATTGCTAATCCATGTTTGCGCGCCCCCGACTAGCTCCTTGGACCATCTGAGCCCAAAGGGCTGGTGGGATTCCGTACCCTGGTAGCGCACGCCAAGCACAGACATTAGTAATATTTGCCACGAGCAGACATCAACACCATGCATCAATGGCGGGCGTCATGGGATACAATTGTAAGAGCAACCTTCAGTCACAATCATCGTTGGCATATATGTACATATCAACATGCATCAACACACATCAACACCATACCATCATGCAGCATGCATACATGATGCACGTAAATGGCACCAATGTGGACACACCATACATGGTCAGCATCATGATCTTCGTCACGGCGTCACGGACATACGTCAGCGGCAACGCCAATGACACACACACGGGGCAAATAATGGCACACATCAAGGACATACGCCAACAGCAAACACCAATGACAGCATGACGTGTGTCACCGCGCCAAGGCGTCGCACCATCCACATACGTGTAGAGCGGGCATTACCATCTCACACATCAGTTACATACATTTAGAGTGTTCGTAAGTCACGCGTGACTTGCAAACATCACAACAGCACGTACACAACACGCACCAGCTCTACACATTACTAATGTTAGAGTTGGAAAGCATCGTAGTGATGGTGGCCGTAGTAGCAGTTCCAGTGGTAGTCGTAGTGCTACTAGCACTGGTGATTGTGATCTGAGTGTTCGTAGGACGTAAGCTGGAACTGAGTAGTTGGGACCGCTCGAATCAGCATGCGCTTGTCTGTTCTTCTCGTGCTCCTTTCAAGTTTAGCAGCGTCCACCGCGCAGTGTTGATGTTGCCCACTGTCGGCCTCCCATGGGGCCTGCGCCGAGCATGCTTCAACATGCATTGCTCAGCCTTGCGGCCCTTGTCCACCCTTCCCCGCAGAGGGCTGGGCTTGGACAGGGCTGGGTGACGACTCCGACAACTTCGACTCCTCCCTCCTCCTGCCTCTTCCTCCTTTCCTTCTTGCCGTTTCGGCACACGCGCATCGTGTCCGCCAACGCGGCCAGTGCACGCCGACCAGTCGCATGATGGGCACATCGCATTAGACGTGGCTCAATTGTTTGACCATGGTCGCAACGAGTACGGGGGGGGGGGGGGGCGCGGCCATGGAAGCACTGCAGGGATCCTTCTACACAAGATGCAGGCAACCTAACACACCCCCATTGTGCCAGAGGCCTGGCGGCGGGCCTGACTGTTCTGGCACTCGTGTGAGCGCCAGCACAAGTCGAAGTTGAACGACGCAAAGTTCTGATAAGTTTGTGACGCCGCCTATGATCGATCTGACATTCAACAGCATGATGCAGACCTCACAACGAACACCGCTGTGAGGGAGGCCATGCTGTCCGGACTGGACCGACCGCCAGTGGTGCACCCTCGGCACTGCGAGAAACATGCCGCCCTTCCTGCGCTCGTCCTGGGAAGGCCTGGCCAGGGAATGTGGGGGCCCAGATGTGCGAATCTCTCGATGTACTCGGGACGCGTCAGGCGAGCTGTGCTTGGGGGCCGATGCGTCCCCCCGGAGCCACGTCCCTCCCCGACCAATGTTAAGTCGGGCGTGTCCCCCTGCAGGGGGATTTCGGGCGAACGAAAATAGTCGAAACATACCACAAAATAAGCAACAAATAATTATTTTTGACTATTTTGGGGTTATTTTGGATTCTTTTGGGGATTTTTGACAATTTTTGAATATTATTTTGAGAATGTTTGACTATTATTTTGGATTATTTTGGATTAGTATAACCCCAGACTTTTTTTGGATTATTTTTGGATGATTTGGGGGGTCTGGCACTCAGGGGGCTCCTGCTGGCCTCCTCGAGGCCTTCTCGAGGCCTTCTCGAGGCCTTTCGAGGCCTTGGCCTTCTCGAGGCCTTCTCGAGGCCTTCTCGAGGCCTTGGCTCCCCTCGAGGCCTTCTCGAGGCCTTCTCGAGGCCTTCTCGAGGCCTTGGCCTTCTCGAGGCCTTCTCGAGGCCTTCTCGAGGCCTTGGGCTCCTGCTGGCCTCCTCGAGGCCTTGGCCCTCGCGCTTTCCCGGGGCTGCCGCCCGTGGGCGTCCACAACGTGGGCGACGCGGGCGCGGGGCCCCCGAGAAACAACAGAAAGAACACCGCGGTCGGGAGAGGGGGGCGGAGGAGGAGGGGGAAGAGGAGGAGGAGAGGAGGAGGAGGGAGGAGGAGGAGGAGGAGGAGGAGGAGGAGGAGGAGGAGGAGGAGAAGGAGGAGGAGGAGGAGGAGGAGGGGAGGAGGGGAGGAGGGGGAAGAGGAGGAGGAGGAGGAGGAGGGAGGAGGAGGAGGAGGAGGAGGAGGAGGAGGAGGGGAGGAGGGGAGGAGGGGGAGGAGGGGGAGGAGGGGGAGGAGGGGGAGGGGGGGAGGAGGGGGAGGAGGGAGGAGGAGGAGGAGGCCCGGGGGGCGTCCACGCGGCAGTCGCCTCTGGGCGCCGCGTGGGGGCGCTGCTGGAGAGAGGATGCCTCTGCATGGCCGCGGGGTCGGAGAGAAACGCTGAGCTGTGCGGGGACTTTCTTCGGCCTGCATGTGACAGTGCATGCAGCCGTAGATTACCAGCCTGGAACATATCCCTATCCCTATGCTGGGCGTCGCCTCATCACGATGCCGATCTCATGGATTCCCTTATTTTTTGAGGGCGCATCCCTAAGATTGTCCTCGCTTTTTGCTCGCCCATCTTAGGGATAGGGATACGTTCGAGGCTGGTTAGTAGAGGGTGTCGCAGAACGGCGGCTGGCGCCCAGGAAGGTCCGGGCTTATGCTGGCTGAGCAGGGGCAGAAGCAGGCAGAAACTGCAAGACGGGGCACGGCAGAAGCAGCTGCCCGAGCAGCGGGGAGCAACCCACACGTTATGGTACAAGAGGGAGCCGGGGTAGGAGGAGGGAGGAGTAGCGGACGAGTGTACTGCTTTCTGCCGCCCGCGTCTCCCGCAGCGCCCTGTCGCCGCTTGCGAGTTCTTGACGCTTCGAGTATCCCCGCCAGACCATCCAGAAACGATGCCCAGGCGAGTTGCCCTGACCAGGGAAGTGTAGGAGCATGCAGTGGACGTGGCGGGGGGCGGGTCAGTCGGAGGTGGAGGAAGGCGGACGGAGGATGACACGGAGCAGGAGGATGAGGGAGGGAGGAGGAACAGGAGGAGGAGGAGGAGGAGGAGGAGGAGGAGGAGGGAGGAGGAGGAGGAGGAGGAGGAAGAGGAGGAGGAGGAGGAGGAGGAGGAGGAACAACGCGAGCGCACATAAGAGGAAATTGACGGACATCATTATCACCCGTTTTCAGGTGAACCGTAGGTGGGAGGATGAGAAGGAAGAGGAGGAGGAGAATGCGGATGATCAGGAAGAGAAGGATGAGGATGCGGGGACACGGGAAGGACGAGAAGATGATGATGGTAATGATGCTGCTGTTGATGAGGAACACCATGCTGCTGCTGATGATTTTGATGCTGATGATGCTGGTGATAATGACGATGGTTTTGATGGCGGTGGTGGTGATGCTGACGATGATGATGATGCTGCTGATGATGATGATGATGACGATGCTGATTATGATTATGATGATGATGATGGTGATGATGCTGCTTACGATGATTGTGACGATGCTGATGATGCTGATGCTGATGCTGATGAAGATGATGATGGTCATGATGCTGATGGTGGTGATGGTGATGGTGATGGTGATGGTGATGGTGATGGTGATGGTGATGATGATGATGATGATGATGATGATGATGATGATGATGATGATGATGAGATGATGATGATGATGATGATGATGATGATGAGGAGGAGGAGGAGGAGGAGGAGGA